ATGCACTGGGTGCCAGTTGGATTCCAGATCCAATTAAAGGTCTTGGTCATCAGCTAAATGGCATGGGGCCAGGTTACCTATGGAATTGATTTCACTCATCACATCAGCCCATCCCACTTGATCAGGCAGGGAAGGTATGCAGCAGACCCTGTTGGCCAAAGAATTATGACTGACAGGATCTAGGAAGAGACTCTTTCTGCAACTACCCCACATTAGTAGTTATGGAACATCCTATCCCCAGAAGTGGGGCAGCCTTCTACAAAGGGGTCAAAAATAGCTCTGCAGTTTTGCCTGGGGGCCACAGAGGACCATGCAATTGTGGGGCTGGCTGGTCCCATGAGAACCCACCCCAGTTGTATTAACTATAATTAATTACAAAACCATCTTGGAATTTTTCATCTTCTTGAAATTTTATAATGTTATAATATGGTAATTTTATATACTTAACATCTTTTAATCTTAAATTAATTTTAACATTAATTTTATGTTGTTTATATATATAAATGTACACCCCCTCTCTGAGGGAGATAGACGATTGAGAAATAAGATATATAAACATATAAATAATGTTTGTAAAAATAAAGATTAAAACAGAAAACATTATTAAATTATTTGAAAAGCAAGCCTTTGTCTGATGCCACCTACCAGCTGAAGTTGTCTGGGGAAAATATTCCATAAACTACAGATTTTCAGATCCCAGTCCAGTGACATTATTGTAGGTCCATTTGCACCCTAAGTTAACTATGAAAATAAATGAAAAGCCTATGAAAACTATTACAAATGCATTGGTATGTTTCAATATTCAAACCCGATATCTATAATTCTATATCAGTTGCATTTTCCAGACCATTCAAAAACAGCTCTATGGATAATAAGTGGGTACCACAAAAGTTAGATTATTGGATCTAGTAATTGGAAATGACCTTCCTGTGACCAAGATCCTTCAAACATGATAAATGTAAGATTCATTCAGCAAAGTCACTGATAACTTCAGATAAAACCATGTTACTATTGTATTGCTTCATGTAATTCATAAAGTGAACAAGAGATGCAATTCCAGAAAAGAGATCTACTATTGAGGCACTCAGAAACAGAACTTGTTATGATCAATACCTAAATGGGATACAATAGTTTACAGAACATTTTCCTGAGCAACGTGACAGAAAAAAGCATGGAAGAATATGGAAGACCTTGTATCTAAAATATCAACCTGAATAAATTAATAAATGACTGTTGAAAAAACATTTACATATATTATACTGGAAATCACTTAGTAATATTCAAAATGTTTTTGTTCTGCTACTGACAAATACTGTGCCCTTGATGGCTTTATTTTGTTTTATATAGTCCAGGAAGAATTGCATGGATTTGCTTGTGAAAATACTGACATTATTTTACATTACGTGTTAGCTTGGGATCATGAAGCAAACTAGCATTTATTCTAACATGTAGCTAGACATATCCCATATGGTTGGGAAAAGTAATCCAGTAGGAAGTAAGTTCTTGGGAATTGATTAAAGAGTTCAGTAACACTTTACGGATTTTATGAGAAAAAAAATAAAGAAAAATAAATTACATTTTAATTTCTCTTCTATTTTTATGCTTCTGTTTGTTTCAATTAAAAAGCATTGAGCAGTGTTTTTGGATTATGCAGGAGATGAAGAACAGTGCCACCATCTTGTGCATATCTGAAACTTAGAAAAAACTCTGAAGCAAACTATAATGGTATCTCTGGGTCATGACAGACCAAATGTTTATAGGTCTCTTTGTAGGAAGAGAGCTGTTTTAATCTATGGTAGCAAAAAAGCAGAAGAAGCCTGGTAATTCCTTTTCTGACTAAATTTAATGAAATGTGTTATTCTCAAAAGGTGCTACAGTGATGGGTTTGTTTTTTGTTTTTTTGTAAAATGTAAAAAGACACAAGATAGAAATGGCAATACCAGATAACACCTTAAAAATGAAATAATTAGGGAATTATAAGCTGTAACATTATGCGTTCTCATCTTATAAATCTCCTGGAAATTTTAATGTATTTCTTGAAATGATCCAAATCATTTTGTAGGTGGTTGAATGAAAATCTAATTTATTTTTTGCTTACTTTGAGCATTACTTGCATCAAACCAAAGGTTTCATTTAAGAATTGGACGAAAAAGTACAACATTCTTCTAGAGATATTTTTTTTTTTATTCATTTATACAGGATTGGGCTATTGTTAGTATCTGCTAGTTTGATGCATCCAAAGCATTTTGATAAACAAGAGAGGACACCTCCTTCATTGCTTAAGAATGAGCATGCCTTTGATCAAAGTGTACTGTGGATACATACTTCCAATTATGTATTCATTTTATATGAATTAAACATAATGTGTGTATAAATGTCACTTTTCTTGATAGAGTCTTGTGAAACTAACACTTTGAGGTTATGGTATATTATTCTGGAATTTCAACTAACCATGGATTTTCAGGATAGTTGCCTCTTGCAAATGTTTCTTGCCTATTTAAGGGTATTCACAGGAAGTATAATTCTAAAATTTTCCAACATGGTTATACTAGATATGAGTTCTGGGAATAATAATCCTAATAAATTTGAAGAACATTAGGTTGGGGAAGATGAGATGAAACTTAATAGTTTTATTCATTTATTAAAGCAGGGCTTTTCAACCTTTTCATCCATTGTACCACTTTTAGGATATGGCAATATCTGAGGATCACCAGTCGCCTAGCAAGGTGTCAAAAACTTGATAACCAAAAAAAAAAAGGAAAAAAGTGATAAAGTACAGGTAGTCCTCGACTTACAACAGTTTGCTTAGTGACTGTTAGAAGTTACAATGGCACTGAAAAAAGTGCCCCCAAGCCACAGCTGAGCAAGACACCTGCCTATCCACCCGGTGGCGCTCTTCCTCCTGTCTGAGGTTTTCATTGTTGTGAGCATTTCTGTTGAGGATTGGCAGAGGGGGTGGGGGTGTGTTTGGTTTTTATTCCTCCCGTTTGCTGGGTGGTTGCAGCAGGTTTTAGTCACTTCACATGACCCTGGGACACTGTGACCATCATAAATATGAATCAGTTGCCAAGCATCTGATTGTAAATCATAAGATCTTGGAGATGCTGCAACATTCCAGTTGATCGGCACTTCTTCTGAGCTCAGCATAAGTGCCAGGATCAGTGCTGCTTTCCAGCTGATTGGTGCTTCTTCAGGGCTCAGCAGAAGCACCAGGATCAGTGCTGAGCTCCAGCTGGAACCTGGCACTGATCCTGGCACTTCCACTGACAGCCCTGAAAAAGCGCCGATCAGCTGGAAAGCAGCACTGATCCTGATGCTTCTGCTGAGCCCTGATAGCCCTGCAGCTACAGCCATCTCTCACTCAGGCTTGTGCGGTGCTGCCACCGGTTCAACTCATTCCCCTCAGCCGCTACCACTTTTCTAGGATGGTCGCGTACCACCTACCAGGTGTCAATGTACCACAGGTGGTACCCGTACCACTGGTTGAAAAGCCCTGCATTAAAGGACCAGAGTAAAGTGGAAACAATTTCAGGTTAATCATATGCTCTTCCTATTTATCAAAGGACAAAGAAGGTTGATCCTAGCAGCATTCCCCTGGTTCCTCTCCTTCAAAGAAGAAAAAGGAGAATAGAACAAATCAAATGTAATGATTTGATTAGTCTAATACTAATCAATAACACCTTCTATACTTTAGACCAGGAGTGTGTCATTTCTTTTTGCTCAAGGTCATTATGACCTTTATATGACACACTAAGGGTCTCATTCCAAATGTGGAATGAACAAGAAGCCCAAGTTCTCCAAAAAGATAAAATGGTTTCTTAAGCCTCTATAAACTTTAGGACATCTGTTTTTTCCCCCTTATACACTATTCCCAAAATCTTTTGACCACACCATCTCTGAAGCTTTTCTGAAGTTGCACTTTCTTCACCCTTGACTTACTCTAACCATAACCCCAACCCTAACTCTTACTCTTTGGTAAGTAGTCTAATAACTATTTCTTCTTCTTTATTCCTATCAGATGTTTGTTTCTCTTTTTTAAAAGGTCAAAAATACACATCATAAAATATTTCTGTTTTCTTCTGCCATGAATTTCAAGCAAAGATCAAATATTTCATTTTGTAACACTGACAACAACCATTAATTATCTTTTACTTCCTCATCCTATTGTCACTAAACTGACTTAAAAATACTCAAAAGGAAAAAACAATTAATGTAAGTTATTAGATAATAATTAATATCTTTCAGGGACTCAGCTGTGAAAAAGTGAAAATGGTATACATAATTTATCTAACCCCAAGGAAGCAGACCAAACAGAGCTAGATAAACCTCAGACTTCACTGCATTTTCTGCTGCTATGTGGTTAAGTCATTTTTTTTAAAAAAAATGTTTTAAACACATTTTTAATATCCATGGAATGGAATTCCACCTCTCTGTTCACAAAAACAGTCTCAAGGGACCAGATTCTACAACTGTATAATACAAATACCTGCTGTAATTGATATACCATCACGTGTTTACCAATGTACTGGTCAGATTCAATTTTGTCTATAAGAGCAAAGGAAGATGCTTAGCCCTTCCTTTCCTGAGGTCTTATTCACTTGGTTCTTGTGATATAAAAATATTTTTAGTTGAAAGGGACTTTTCGCCAGATTTAAAATACAGTCCAAAAATTTATTATATTTTCTGCTTCTCTTCTGTTTCCTAACCAAATGTATCTAAATAGTTGAACAGGGCTAATTGTCTGCTATGGTTCCAAATAACCTTTACACAGCATTGAAATATGAAGAAGATAGATAAATAATCTCTAGCTCTCTGGCTCTTTGACTCTGAATCTGTAAAAAAGAAGTTATTGAGCCTTGTAAAGATGGAATCTGTAGGTTTATCCATTCTTCCTGTTTTTTGGCTTCAGGCAGATGGGACTTTTGCTAGGCCTGCCACTGTCAACACACAACCAGCTGGACATATATCACTTTGGATTTCTTGCCTTTCAGCAGAATTACCTTAGATTGGTAAAGAAGGCCCCATGCTGGGTTTCTTCTAAGAATCATTCCAAGCAGCCATTTCAGTCATTCCCTCTTAGAAAATAGCTTGTTGGTCTTCTTTTGCTTTTTTAAGAATGCCTTTTCAATGTCTTGTTCAATGATTAAGAATAAAAATAAAGTAATCCTCTGCATTACTCTTTTGTTATCTGCGGGGGGGGGGGGGGAGAGACAACACATAGAACAGTTGCTTTGTATTTTGTGTGTGGATATGAACTCACATATATATTCTTATCCCATACTTATGGCTACTCAATAGGACTTTTTCCCAAGTAAGTGAAAACTTCATTGCAGCCTGATTCTAAAAATATTCTTTGGGCGTATTTTGCCCCATATTCCCTAGGTGAGTTTCTAGATGAATATATAAAGAAACCCACTATTTAACTAATTATATTGTTCAACCATTTCTGAGAATGTGTACATACATTTCCTTGACAATATTTATTTGATCAAATAGTTTATTGCCATCCTTCCATTTAAAGCACAGCTACAACAAAATTATCACGTAACAACCAAATTGTTTTCTTCCAGGGGCAACTGTATTAAGGATTGGCTCTATTCACATGTTACAATGCACTGTGTGACATATCCCTATAACTATTGGTATAACCACTATGTAAGTTATGATCAGATTATTAAAGCCTGGGATTCTTAGAGCCAGTGTACATCAATTTGCATTTAGATACCTTGAGCATCTTATGCCATTTTAAGGCTCATGCTCCTCATTTGAAAGAATCCTTTTGGAGCTCTGCAAAATCCCGTTTTGATTTTATCATGTTGGAAATCTTCATAAGACTGTTATTGAATGTTTGAAGCACATACAGGTCTGCATAGGTTTGTTGTGAGAATAAAGCAAACTGGACTTTCTGTCACAAAGTCGAACCTCTTCTATCTTTTATTTTTCAAAAGAAACAATAGTATAACATATGCTCTAAAAAGGGGTAAATAAAACGACCTATGAAAATGGGTGCCATACAAGTTTAATAAATAAACTGATATTGTTTCAGCAAAGTGTGCACTTGGTACACAAAAGGCAAATTCCACATGTAATTCTAGATACCACAGCTGCAAATAGTGAACAACCTATAAAGATACCAAACAAAACAGAGCAAACAAAATAATTAAGTTGATGAAAGACTTTAATGATAATAGTTTTTTTTAGATGAAATGCAGCTAAAATAAGGTATACAAAATTATGTTCAGAATTGAAAATGTGATTCATAAGGAGCTTTTTTCATTCTTTTACATTAGAATTTTAGGATTCTAGGGATTATACATTGAAATTGAATGCAGGAACATTCTGTATCAATAAAGCAAAATACTTCTTTTCCCTGTATATTATTAAATTGTGGGCTTTGCTACCATATGTAGTTATGGCACTAATTTAGATTTTAAATTGAACATATTAGGCTATCGGGCTTCTAGACTTGTAAACTAAATTCTACTTCCTAAAACCATACAAATCACTATAGTACTGTACCTGAGTATAAATATTTTATGCACATCTCAATATTGGGAATATCTATAATAGGAAGAAATATTCAAAGTTCAGCACAAAGGCTGTTTATATGAAAAGAAGGTCAAAATAAAGAGAATGATATCACGAAGCTATGCAAGTGTGCTAATTAATATGTATCAAAATACATGGGCTATGCCAAGTGTTTAATATAACTTCATGCATCTACTATATTGTAGCAAGTTGCTGTAACAGATATTAAAATCAACAAAGAACACAAATAAATTCCCTCAATAGGAATTTTATAGCTAAGCTGAAACTTTTTGTGTAGTTTAATCATTATGCTAGTACTTAGATTCATAATATACATAATAACTTTTTAAATAGATATAACATTAAAATACAATGTAGTTTTTTTCTGGCAATATTCAATTTGTTTTTTGTTTTTGTTCAAGTACCTCAACAATCAAGATAGTTGTACAAAGTACAAAGGTTCTCGGTCACAACAATATCAACTGATGTATTGTAGATAACCCATTTGCAAGAACAATGGATACTGGCTGCAATTCATCTCCAGGAAATTATTTTCTCCCTGAATTTCATAGTTGATGAAATATTGCCCATAGATAACTCTGAGATCTTTACCCAATCACTTATCTCAAAATACATTAGCAGCTTCTTGTCTCACTGCAGTATCGTATTTGTTTATGTGGTCAATGGTTTTGAGATTAAGAACAATGAAAGGGAAACCTTGAAAGCAAAGGCTGTCCCTTGGCTCTGTTTTTATTTTGAGGTACCTTTCTATGTAAACAATATCTCTAATTTGGCACTGCACTGACAGCTAGATTGTAAAACAATAAAAATGTTTAGGAATTAAAATAGTATTTTTAATATAGTTTACATACATAGTTGATACAACAAACAGCCTTCTGAAATGTTAAGCACTCTTTATTGGATGCCTTGACTGCAACTCTTAAAAATATGTCTAGTAAATGTTGGAAATGTAACCCAAAATCTGGCACGTATTATCATTTGTGGTGGACCTGTGTTAAAAAAAAAAATTGGACAAAAATACACATTTGGTTAGAAAAGATGTTAGGAAAACATGTAGATTTTAAACCTGAAATTTTCTTACTAGGTATAATGCCAGAAAAATCTGATAAGCACAGTGTATATTTAACATTGCATGTACTAACAGCAGCAAGGATTGTATTTGTTCAGCACTGGAAGAATGAAGAAACACCACTAGACGAAGCGATAATCAAGAAGATATTGAACTGTGCTGAAATGGACAGACTTACATCGAGGATCAAAGAGAAAGAAGATACAGAATATTTTCAAACATGGAATTTATTTTATCAATGGTTGTAAAAAAGGGGTAGAGATTAAGAATGTAACTCGTATTATTAAGCAAACAAATTAATCTAGACAACATGATGTTTATTAAGCACTAATCAATTGTAATAATAGAAAATTAATAAAAAAATGAAAAAAAGGACTGCAACTCTCAGAATTCCAGCAGCTTTTGACTATGCGAGAGGAAATGTTGGGATGTGATGTCTCTATATATATGTGGAAAGTGCCAATTTGAGAGCAAATATAACCACACAGATACATAGCAAATCTAAATTAGCTAATGTAGGGAAGGAGAGAGAGGAAAATGTAAAATGATGACAAAAAGGATGAGATACAGAATTACTACAGACAATAATCAAAAATAAGAGAGAGGCAGCAGTTAGTTGTGATACAGTCATAATTGCATGACCCTGATACACATAGTATGAGAAGAAGCCTCTTTATTTAAATCAAGAGAAGTATTGTTAAATTTCCTGATGATTTCTAGTGTATCTGTTTTTCTATGGAATCATTCTTGATAGTTTCTTTCTCAAAGATAGCTATACCATATTAAAGAAAAAAAATTCTAGACAGTTTCTTTGCTATGAAACATTGACATGTAGCATCAGTCCGCCTAACAAACCAGTTGATCACTACTGACACAAAATAGGTAAGCTTTAGAGAACAACCACATTTATTCGGACTAATCTAACAAAAATGAATTAATTATTTTAAATAACAATAACCCCAGTGAAATTAAAACAGTCTAAAATGCTTACACTGGTTCTTGAAAATAAACTTCCACAAGAGACCCAGGGAAGAAAATGCTAACCTATTGCTACCAGATGAAATTACTCAAATTCAGTCTACTTGAATGTAGTCTTATGCTGGCCTACTCTTGGTAGCAAAAGATTAACTCAGCTACTATTCTGGAAAATTCTAAATAATCAATAGTCCAATCTTAAATCAAATCAACAAAATTTGAATATCAACTATAATAATAGATTTACCTTTGGTTAGCAATCTATTGGAATAAGAATGCTAGCAGTTTATTACTAATGTATATTATTCCAAAGTCACTGTGTTGACTATGTAGTCTACTATTATTGTTTGATGATAGAAGAATATGCCTGAACCTGTTTTTGGTTGGTAGCAATGTTTTAGACCACTTTATCCTGTTGGGTTGGCTCTTGGTGCTCTCTGAACTTGATTATTTTCTTGTAGACATTTCATTATCATACTCTTGACATTGATCATGATCTGTGGTCCAAAAGGTGGCAGCTACAGTTTTACGTACCTTAAAAGATCATGGGGTAGAAAAATACTACTACTACTAATACTAATCTATTTCTCTATCAGATATTTGAAGATTGCTTCCAAGCAGTAACCTATTATTTATGGGGCCTTGAATTTCAGCATCAGAATATTTAATTGTTCAAATATATATGAATGGATAGAAATTGATTATTAGGTATCCTGATCCTGGTTCAGTTAAGATGCACTTTGATTTATATCTTAAAATAAAGTTGTAAAGAAACGTGGGATATTACTGCAAAAATACACTTTCTATATCTTGCCACAAATAGTTATATTTTAACCCAAATGAAATTTCATAAGCTTGAAAAAAAATCATGTTGGATACTACTTGGATACTACTAAGACATGACATATATTGACAGCTGCAAGAATAGCATTTGCCCAATACTGGAAAAATGAAGATATACCATCAGATGACATTATAATTAGGAAAATCTTAGAATGTGCAGAAATGGATAGATTAACGTTAGAGATTAAAGAGAAAGAAGACTCAGTCTATTATAAAACATAGGAAAACTTTTATCGATAGTTAGGAAAATGAGATAATGAAATTGAAATTTATTAAGATGATTGATTTTTTTCTTTTGATTAATTGATATGCTTTATAATTTATGTTATTTTTGTTGACTACTGTTACTGATTATTATATTAGCCCTGTGGAATACTTGTATCCAGATGATAGCTTGCTTGTTAAAGCATAAAATGTTATTGGGGGCAACCCCATTGGTGTACCCATTCCCACCCTAAACCCTCCCTTGAACCCTACCCTGAACCCCACCCTTTATAATCACCCTTGCTTTTCCCCACCCTGAAAAAACTTAATGAAATATTCTTTTAAAAAAGGACATGAATGTCCTAGCAATTCCTGGGTCCTAGAATATTGGTTAACAAATATATAATGTCCCCTTTAGACAATTAAAAAAAATGTCCCTGCAGTTTCTTTCCAGTTGCAATGATGAAGTCAGAATTTTTTTTATCATAAAAACTTAAAATTTAAAAAATAAAGTTTTTTTTTAACAAAGGCATTATAGTGATCATTAG